GAAAACCCTGGCAGTTTGTTTCTGTAATGATTACAGTCTCAGAAACCCAATAAATAGCAGTTCTGCTCTGTCACATTGGTTGTGCACCTGAATTGACTTGAAGGCATCTAACAACGGGAATTCATTCACTGCATTATAGGTATAGGGGTTAAGATTCCAATACATTGTGGGGGATACAATTCATTGCTTAACAATGATTGTTAAACAGCTCAAATGGAACAAATCCCAAACAGAAATCTATCTCCCCTTACCCTGTCATACCTGCTCAGCCTTTACTATCTTTCATCTAATTGAAGAGAACTCTAGTTGATTCAGGCCCAAAACCTTAGAGTTACCTATTACCTATTCTCCTTCCCCTTATCCAGTCAGGAAATCCTGTTGAAAATACATATGGGATCCAACCATTTCTCACCACATTCAAAACCACCACCCTGGGCTGAGTCACTGTCATTTCATCTGGATTGCTGCCACAACCTCCTGACTTATCTCCCTGCTTCTGTTCTTATATTCCTATCTTTAGCACAACCATATTAAAACGTTATATCAGTTTCATGCCCCCTTTCTACTCAGAACAGTACCTCCCTTCCCTTCAAAGTAAGAGCCAAAGTTCCCACAATGTTTAAAGGCTCTACAAACTAGGACCTGCATTATCTCTTGAACTGTCTCTACTACTGTTTACTTGGTCAAAAAGCCATTCTAAGCATATTGGCCTCTTGGTTATTCTTTGAATAGTCTTGGCATATTTATAATAATACTAAGGGCTTTTTGTCCCTTCTACCTGGTATGTTTTTCCGAGTGATTCTGTTATAAATTTCAAGAACCATAGTCCTGGTGTGGCACTACAATTAATTAAATCACATTGTATGCACACACAGTATAGGCACAGTGAGCCATTTGTACAGTTAGAGTGGTGAGAACCCTCTCCAAATCCAAGTTCCTTGATACCGGCCAAGGACAAACCTTATAAGCATCCCTTTCTAAGGATAGCTTCCAAAGAAGTTTGGGATTTTGTTCATTTTTCTGTTTCTTTGTTACATGAAAATACAAAGCATTTAGATCAAACCATTTCTCTTTTGGAAATGGGGAATAATTTTTACTTTAACTGGGTTAAATAAGTGAATTTATTCACTTTTACATTTCTGAAAAGTGCTTGGCAGTATTATTCACGACCTGTACTGGATTTTGTAATTACAGAAGCAGTTTGCTTCATAATAAAATTTGCTAATTTCAAAAAACAAAACAAAACAAAACAAAACTTAAAGTATCTCCTTTGATACTCAGCTTGAAAAACATCATCCATTAATGTGGCCCTAGATTTCAAAGAAGATAACTGATTTTTTTCTCTTTCAACTTTTCTTTCCTCTTCCATGTTCCAAAGAGCCTATTTGAAACTTGTCATCTTTAGGTTTGCTTTTGTGAGTAACTGATCTTTCTTTTTTATAGGCCAAGATGCAGAATTATCAGGGACACTTTCACTTGTTTTGACACAGTGCTGTAAAAGAATAAAGGATACTGTTCAGAAATTGGCTTCGGATCACAAAGACATTCACAGCAGTGTTTCTCGGGTTGGAAAAGCTATTGACAAGGTATGTTATTGAAGGAAGCGTTTGGTATCTTTTTTAAGCATCATCCTTCATCTGATGTTAGTACTGATTATTTTGTGATGTTCCTTTCACCTTTGCTTTTGATAACTTTTGCAGGTTGGGTTTTACTATGCGAATCCTACTTAAGTTGCCTGTTTCTATTATTTAACAAACAAACCAAAAAAACCTCTTTTATATAGCTATGCTGTTTATCCTTTTTTATATGACTACAACCTCTAGGGTCATGATGAGTGAATTTCCAAATATTAACCTCCTATGTTTGTCATGGAGGTGAGGCAGTTTGTGTCAGTAAAGATTTACAGCCTTGGAAGAAGCAATTCTACCTTCTCCTGTAGGTTTCTATGACTTGGAATTGACTTGAAGCCAGTGGTTGTAATTTAGGATTTTATGTGTGAGTGTTTTTTTGTTTTGTTTTAACAGAAGTAACTTTTCATACTTTCTGAGTAACTCCCTGGCTGTGACTGTCTCTCAGTCACACCCCTACACCCTCATCTTCCTGTGGACATGTTGGTTGCTTTTGTCTAATGTTGCCTTCTGTGTGAATGAGTGGGTTGCTGGCCAACAGTGCTAATCCTGTTTATTGACAGATTTTTTGTGTGTGTGTGACGTCTCTTGAATATGCAATCTTTGACTTAGTGGTTAACTTGATAAGTACCTTTGAGTGGATTCTGATTCATAGCTACCCTTTGTGCAACAGAACAAAGCACTGCCTGGTCCTGTGCCATTCCCACAACTATTGCTATGTTGAGTGACTTATGTACAAGCAGTTAAGGCTAGACCAAGTTTATGGCCCTGATAGCGTCTAAAGGAAGTAGCCCAAGGTTATAATATGATGGTTCTTATGACTGCAAAGTTGGTGGTTCAAGTTCACCATCTGTTCCTCGGAAACCCTATACAGTGTTTTTATGGGTCGGAACAGACTCAACAGCACTTAACAACAACAACAAATGACTGTTTCAGCCACTCTGGCCATGGGGACTGATTATGAGTATTTTTCACATTGTAAACTTTTAGGGACTCCT